AAAATCACAAACTCTTAGAGAGGAAAAAACTGATTTAAATTTCTAAAACATAATGTAATATGATAAAGACAAATACAATTTTATTGCCTTCAAACCTAATATATGGTTATTTAGCCAAATGTTTTAGGTAGCACACTTTGAGAGGTTGTTTTTAAAAACATATAAAATATAAATATAAAAATATTTTTAATGCTTTATAATTAGTATGGTCTTCTTACATTTGCTTTAGAGAAAAAAAAATATAAAAATGCTTTACAACTGATATGGTGTTCATAAGTTTGCTTCAGAGAATAGATAAGAATATTTAAAGGTAAATGGATGCTCCAATCTGTTCATACAGTCTATGAAGATTTATAGTATAAGTAATTTGTTCTTTTAAATATGATAAACATAAATAAGTATTCTGTTTTTCAAAAATGGCCCCAATGATATTTCCAATGCCATTTATTTTCTTCCAGGACTTTAACATTCCTACCAACAGGAGGTGGAGTCTGATTCTCTTCCTCTCAAATATGGACTGGCTTTAAGTGACTTGCTTCTGTTGAATGGATAGGGGTGGAAAGAATTCTGGGAGCCCGCCAAGGCTAGGTCAAAAAAGGTGATACAATTTCCACCTACTTTCTTTCTCTTGGTTGCTTGCTCTTAGAACCCAACCACCATGCCGAAAGAAATCTGTGGAGAGATCCCACCCCATGGAGTGCTCACGTGGAGAGGACCCAAGGCCCCAGCTCACAGCCAGCACTAACCCCCCCAGACATGAAGGTGAGGGAACTTCCAGGTGATTTCAGTCATCAGCTTCAAGTCTTCCAGCTGAGAACTTAGACATCATAGATCAAGAACATGTTCCCACTGTGCTCTCTAATTTTGGGTCCAAGAATTCATGGGTCATGAGTGGTTGTTTTATCCCACTAGGTTTCAGGGTGATAAACTCCACAACTGTAGTTACTGGAACACCAGGATCATCTTATCTACCATCCAGTTTGTTTAATAAACCCATTTTAATGTCATGTTCTTCATAAGTAATCACAAATTTTTTAAAAAGATTTTATTTATTTGAGAGAGAGAGAGAGACAGTGAGAGAGAGCATGAGCAAGGAGAAGTCTGTGAGAAACAGACTCCCCGTGGACCTGGGAGCCCGATGCGGGACCTGATCCCAGGTCTCCGGGATCATGACATGAGCTGAAGGCAGTCGCTTAACCAACTGAGCCACCCAGTAATGACAGATTTTGAGTCTGGATCTTAAGGTTTTAGTAAACACTGTTTCTACCTAGAATGTAAATACAATAACTGCTTATATGGTTATACTTGTATAATTTGCTACATTTCTGAATATCTTATTGAGTTGAGAAATATTATACATGGATCTTAGAAAAGGCCACCATCTCCTATGGATCAGTATGTGAGCAGATCACCTCTCTCAGGAATAAGGCCATATCACACTGTGGAGTTTTCCCACCATGGTCCTGGAGTGAGATGGGCCTGGGCTTGAATCTTGGTTCTATTGCATAGCAGCTGTATGTACAAGAATGAGTTCTACAATACCTTATTTACATCTCTACACCTTCATTTCCTTTCAGGATTTTTGGGAATAATAGTAGCATCAATCTTATGGGATTGTTACCATGAATAAATGATATAATGCACATGGGAAGTGTTCATTAAATGTTGGCTCCTAGGGTTATATGTATGAAATCTGTCCATTTGAATGCATGCCTTGTCATACTACCTTGATTCCAAATCTGGAAAATTTCCTTCAGTGACCCACTGCTGGGCAGAGCTTGTAAAATGGACTTTTACAGGAACTCACTGTGCTGTTAATTGGGGTGACTTTCCAGAGATGGATCACTAGTGTTGCCCCTTGGGACACCCCTAGAGAAGTGCAAAGTGTCCCCATAAGACCCTGGGCTAATGCCCACCAACTTCAGGTGTAAGTCAGTTTGTGTTTTTGTGAATGTCAAGGGTGGTCCCGAGATTCCCTTCTCTTGGCTTGTCTCACCGAGAGAAACACAGGAACAGTTCTGCAGGATGATAATTTCCTGCAGACTTTTTGAGAAGTTCCACTGTTTGTTTTGGAAAACAGTGAGGATAAAATAAAACCCAACGATTTGCTTTTCTCCTCTGCCAGTCTGGCTGGGTTGACTTAGTGGCACTCACTTTGGGGACATGCCCCCGTCTCTCTCCCTCAGCCCTTCCAGAGAGAACAGTCGTGTGTGATTTTAATATGATCATGTCTTTACCATGTGGTCTATCAGCTGTCAGTGACAGTGTGTTTCAGAGTGTCTAGAAGAGGTTTTAATTGGCAAGATCTTTAGTAAATTTGCAAATTAGTGATCTGCCGGCTGATGTTATGACAATGTCTAAACACTATCAGTGCCATTTTAAAATAATCTTTCATCGATACAACATTCATTTTAATTAGCCAGAAAATGTTGGTCCTAAAGGAAGCTCTTTATAGTTTTGTGAATTCGGTGTGGGGTTATAGGATGGCTTGCTGAACTTACTTGGAAAAAAGAGATTTATTGACGTTATTGTATCTTGTTCAACTTATGAGGTGCTGGTCAGTATCCTGAATTATTGGGATGTAGACCCAGGGATACAAATGAGCAATACTCTTCTCTTTGGTGAGATGGCATGGGAAGAGTACCAGCCTGACACTCCTTGATATCTGGATTTTAATCCTGGCTCAACCAGAATTTGTCAGTATAACCCTGGGAAAGACCAAGAAGGTGGGATTGAACACTTACTCTACACCCGGTACTCTGCATCACGTGTTTTATTCCTTGCAAAACACTATGAGGTGAAAATCAGTATATCTGTTTTGGAGTTAAGGAAACAAATGGAGATGCAGGGAGTGGAGTTAGCTTGTTGTGGGTCATGGCCATCCAACTAGGAAGTGGTAAGAGACCCAGGTCTCTCTGCCCTAAAGACTGAGGTCTACACAATCATAAGTTAACCTCTCACTGAAAATTCCCTCAATATTCAAGAGCCTAGATTTTCCCTTCTGTATAATGACAGAGTTGGACTAGATGATCTTTTGCTTATAGTTTAGCCAGTATGATTCTATGTAGCTTCCGCGTCTGGATTTCTGGGTCGCTGAGTTCCTTCTATGGTGGCTTACATTCTCATGAAACCTGGCAGGTCCCTGTGGTACTCTTGGGAGGGTACTAAATTAAGGCTGTGGTACTGATTAAATGGATTAGCAGCCTTACAAGGACCAGATTTTTTTTTTTTTTTCTGGTTAGCTGAACTGGACATGACAACTTTTCTCACTGGCTTATAGATGTGATTCATGCCAGCCAAAAGCGCCACCATTTTCTTTCCTTCCAGTGATATCCACAAGTTACTGGTAGTGCCCAGCACCCTCTGGGTGCCCTATCAGTATTTACTAAGTCTACCTGATTAATATCCTTTGTAGTATCAGCGTAGGTGTAATTTAATTTAAATCTGAACAAATTCTCGGCTCTATCCAGCTGCACAAAAATGCATTAGAGAATATTTTTCTGGTATGAGTTTCTGCCCCAAAGCATGAAACCCAGTACAGACTCAGCCCAGGTTACAGGATAGAGATGCCAGATGGCTGTTAAAATGGACCCTTGCTTGGCTTTTTCTCTTATACAAATAATGTATGACCTACCACTCTGAACTCTGATCGTGGGCTTTGTTGGCGCCCTGATAGCTTTCTTTCACGTTGATAGCTACCCTACGCTGCCTCTAGGACTACATTGTTCTTCGCAGAGGCCTTAAAATATCTTGAAACGGGATCATCGAGGTCACTTGGCATTCCAGCCTCCTCTTTTTACACAGTGTTGTTATTAGGAGGTGGACTGTCAGAATGCAGGACTTCCGGTTTCTTTAGGTTTCAAGGCATGTGTTGAAGTTTCTCTACCCTTCAGGCTTCATTTGTAAAGTGGGAAGGATCATGCCTGCTTCTCAGATACTCAGTGAATTACATGAAATGGGTTTTCTGGATGTATTAGTTTCCTATAGGCTTTGTAACAAATTACCACAAATTTGATGGCTTTATTGGCTCACATCTGAAGGCTGAAAGTCCAGAATCAAGGTGCTGGCAGAGATATGTTCCCTCTGAAGGCTCTAGGGAAGAATTCTTCCCTGCATCTTGGCATCCCTTGGCTTGTGGCTGCATGACTATCTTTGCTTCTGTTGTCACATGGCCTTCTTCGCTTCAAGTCTGTGTCCAAGTCTCCCTCTCTTCTTTCTTGTAAGTATTGCAGTCATTAGACTTACATCCCATTCTAAAACCAGGATGGTTTCATTTTTAAGATCTTTAACTGAGTATATAGCTGCAAAGAACTTATCCCCAAGTAAGGTCACATTCTGAGGTTCTGGATGGACATGGATTTGGGGGTTGGGGACACTGATAAAGCCATGATACTATTTTCCACTTGGGAAATCTTGAAGTTTCCCAAACACAGCAAGAATGCTTAAAATAAGCCAGGCAACCAAAAAAGCATGATAAATAGACAAGTTAAGGGAAGAGAGGGTGGTACGAGGGGTTGGGTGGTGGTTGGTCTCCTTTGGCATCTGGGTCAGAAGGCTTCTCTGCAGAGGTAATATTTGCGACAATTTTGGACGCAGTGGAAGAGTGAGCAATGTGAAATGTTTTGAAAAGTGTTTTCCAGGTGGATGGAGCCACAAATATCAAGATGCTGAAGAAGGAATCAGGTGATGTTTTGAAGAACAGCCAGGAGGCCAGAGTGGTTGGAATTGGCATGAGATGAGAGGAGATGAGGTTGGAACAGTAAATGGTGGTCTGGCCATTTGTAGGCCACTGTAAGACTTTGGGCTTCATTTTAAGGGTAATAATGGGAGTTTTTGAGCATGAAAGCAGGCTAATCTGATTAGATTTTCAAAAGTCACTTGGGTTGACATGGAGAGACTAGACACCGGCAAAGTGTAGGATCAGGTTGGTGAGCCTGAGGGCATGCTGGTCATTGAGGCAAGAGATAGTGGTGCTTTGGAAAGTGCTTGTGAGGATTATTTTCTGAGATGGGGAAAACCAAGACATAGTGGGACTTGGGGGTACAGTGAAAATCAGTTCAATTTGGATACATTAACTTTAGAAAAGTCATTAAATATCCAAGAGGATGAATAGGACATTGGGTTTTGATTCTGGAGCTTAGGAGAGAGGTCAGCATGGGGGTTTTGATTTGGGAGACATACAAGCATGGGGCTGAGTGTGGTCCCCCAAAGAAAGAGTGGATCAGGGGAAGGATGGGCAGGACAGAGACTTGAGTTATTTCAACATTGAGGCCAGCAAGCTGTTTTGAGGGCCTATGCCCCGGCTGGTAATACTTAGAGCCCACTCTTCTTCAACTCCTCATTACTGCTTATGTTTGCAAGGTTCCTCTTCATGGGTCCTGGTAGTTTCAGTGTCTTGGTTTTGAGATCAGCTCTCTGACCAAAAACTCATTGGTTGTGTTTTTCTTATATTTCTGAAGGCTTTGGAACAGGAAGCAGTTTCCTTCTGGAACATCCCATCTGCTATGTACTTCTCTACTTGTGGATTTGCTCTGTGTACCTGGAGACAAATGAGGCACGGATGGCTGAACGGGCCTGTCTTCTCTGATTCACAGTCTAGTTCCTCCTCCTGCATCCCATGTCTGCTCAGGACATATGGCAGGAGCAGCCACCACACCTGCGCAAGCACTTGCTTCCACAGACCCAGCTGTCTGGGGCTCACCTGAGCACACCTGTTACCTTTTCCTTCGAAAAGCTGGCCATTGATTTCTGACTTCAAAGCCTCAAATCGTATATGGAAACCTTGGAGGTATTTATCTGCACCCAAGTGCCCACATTCCAAATGGCTTTAGTTGACCTGGAGTTTATCTTTTGCTTTTGCATGATTTGCAATTTGGTGACATGAATGAGTTTGGGAAGCCAGCTGGCAAGGAAAGGGGGTGCCGAGATGCCTGACTCCACTAACTACTGACTCTGCTGCTACTAGCCTGATCCAATTTATGGGTACTGAAACCAGACCTATTGAAAGTCTTGATGGATGCGGCATGCAAGGCAGGTGGGAATTGGTTAGAAAAAAAGGGAAAGGGGAACAACGCATATTCAAGTGTGACCCACAACACAGTTAGTGTTGCAAATGCTTCAGCAAATTCCTCTTATTCATTTATGGAAAACCTGGCCCATTCCACACTGTGGCAAAGAGGTGTGTTTCTCTTGGACACATACGTACACACACATACACACATGCACGCACGTACATGCTCATGAGCACGTGTGTGTGCGCACGCGCGCACACACACACACACACACACACAGCCTTGCTTCATACCAGGCCTTTGCCAACAATGACTTCTTATTAAGTACTTCAGATTTAGGATAAAAGAATATGTAAGAACAGGAACATTTTTTCCCCCCAAGCATGAAAGAACTTTGTGCCTGTAGAATGTGCACTGGCTTGCATTCAGACATAAATATGTACCACAACACAATTCCCTCCAGCTCAGAGCGGGGCTGCAAGAGAGCCTTGGATCTGAATGAGCAGTGCCTGAATTTTTATCCCATTACCCAGTGAAATCCCATCCCAACTTGGTCTTATTCCCTGTGTAAAACAGCTCAGATGACTCTTGAGCTTCCCGCTGAAGCAGTAGATTTCAGCAGATAACTAACTAATTCCTCTGGTTTTGTTATCAAAGCTGTCCTCCCACCCCCCATCTCTTACTCATTCTCCAACAGCTAACCTTTCTCTGCAAACTGCCGTTTTTCGCTTTTTAATCTGCCTGTTCCTTCCTCTCCATGTTTAAAATGCAAAGGGCTGTTGTATCTGGACTATAATAACCTCCTTTCTGTTCCCCCTACTCCTCGCTCCCCCTGCCATGCAGACAACAAGCTCTACATTTCTTTTGTCCACCCCGTGCTGTTGTCAGCTCTTGGCAGTAGACTTGGGTTATCCCAAGAGCGGAGGAAATCCAGCCCTGGTCTGGAGGGCTGGGGACCCACGTTGGGACTAGTTTATAGTCACTGTCTCTAGGGAGACACCTCAAGAGGCCAGAGAAGGTGGTCCGTGTAGCAGGCACCTCCAGCCCCTGAGACTCAGTGCCTGAGTCCTTGGCCGTACATCTACCCCTCAGCCCCCCGCCCCCCCGGGCCAACTCCACTGAGCCCTGGTCAGGGTCCTCAGCAGACCCTTCTGTGCATTCCTACAGCCGCGCACTATTCCCCCCTTGCGTTCTTTGTCATACATGGGTCTGGGGAACATCCACTGTTTCCCTGGACCCTCTGTCAGGCTGGGGCTCATTGAGTCCCTGCTGCATTCTAGTGTCTAGAACAAAGAATTGCACATCCAGACACTTTGCCTATATTTGCTAAATTCATTCATTTATGTGGTCAATCATTTGAAAATATGTTTTCCTGTTCTATGACAGACACTGTTCCAGGTGTAGAATCAATGGACAAATGAGCAAAAGTGGGTAGAATTCCCACTGTTTCCTCAGGCTGCTGTCACTTTGTGTTCCTCTTGAAGTTAATTTTTTTTTAAGATTTTATTTATTTATTTGACAGATAGGGATCACAAGTAGGGAGAGAGGCAGGCAGAGAGAGAGGAGGAAGCAGGCTCCCTGCTGAGCAGAGAGCCTGATGCAGGACTCAATCCCAGGACCCTGAGATCATGACCTAAGCTGAAGGCAGAGGCTTAACCACTGAGCCACCCAGGCGCCCCTTGAAGTTAATTTTAAAGTTACTTCACTTGGTTCGTTTATAAACTAATGGACAGTAGCAGGTGTGGCACTGGTAAGCGGTGAGAATTGCCCATTTCAGGGTCGGATGTCCAGTGGCTCCCCTCCCCATGACTGCACTCCATGTCCGTTTCTAGATCTGTCTTTCCTGAACCTACTCAATCCTCGTTTCTAATGGAAAAAGAATTTCCGCCATATTCACGATTAGGAGACAGACATATACTGGGATGTCTGGTGAACCAGCAGCGTGGGAATGGGAAGGGACAGAAACTAAAATACATCAAGACTGGGGAGTCCTGGAGAGAATGTATCCCTGTGAGAGAATATATCCTCAGGGGGATCCAAGGATGTGAGGGGTTAGCGAGTTCTCTCTAAACTCTGTCGAAATCAGGAGCTCTGCGAAGGGATCTAACAGAGCATTAGGGACCGAGTGTTTGTGTCTATGAAAAATCCATATGTTGATTCCTAACCTCCAAGGTAATGGTGTTAGGAGGTGGGGACTTTGGGAGGCAATCAGGTCATGAGGGTGGACCCCTCGGGATTGGGATTGGTGCCCTCTTAAAAGAGACCCCAAGAGAACTCTCTCGATCTTTCTGCTATGAGGACACAGGAAAAGGAACTGTAGCCATCTGTGAATGAGAAAGACCACCCTCACCAGACAGCAAATTTGACTGCCCTTTCATCTTGGACTTTCAGCTTCCCGAACTGTGAGAAGTAAATTCCTGTTGTCGATGACCACCGCCACCGCCCCCCCCCACCCCGAGCCTCTGTGGTGTTGTTACAGCAGACTGAACGGGCTCCAGCACAGAAGGAAGTTATTGTTTGTTTTTGTATCTCAGAAGTAAGTTCTGGGGCTATCGGACTCCAAGGGCAAGGGCATCCACGTGTGGAACGATGGACCCAAGGGTGGAGAAAGAGGCCGCCCGATTCCTCAGAGACTTCAGGTAGCTCCCAGAGCCTCTCAAAAGTCTCTAGATGGAGAAGTCCTCTCAGAGACCCTGGAGCCACACTAGCAGGGTTTAGTGGGGTGTACAGATCGTTATTAGTGTGACTGTGACCTTTTGGATCCCCTCAGGCAGGTGGACAGGCAGGACATTCTTGTTTCTGGCCTTTGAGATGGATTCTGCTTCTATAAGCCCACGCCTCCGTGGACAGGCCCCGGGGGAGCCACAGCCTCCGTCTCCAGCCCCCGCCCCGTTAGCTCCCCCGCTAGTCCCTGTCAGCCTGCCTGGTCTCACTTTCATTCTCACAGCCTCCTGGACTCGATTCTCTGGCTCTTGGGCCCTCCTGGATGTGGCTAGCTCTTTGGGAAGATCGTTTTTTAACTGTTGAAAGTCTGCCACTGTAGGGACTCTGTCTCCCACATCTGGATCCGGACAGCACAGGGCAGGTGGAAAGAAACTCCCCCGGTCCCCCCTCTGCTCCCCCCCCGCCTGCCATCCTCAGACGAGGAGACACTCCCGTCTGCACTCATCCTGGAATGTGCAAAGCATCGGCTCCTTCTTTCCTTCACTTTGCAAAAGAGCAGAGAAGTTCATTCGAGCATCTCCGTACTAGTAGCTGATTTGCCTTAATAAATTGTTCCTTTTGGGTGAATTTGCCATTTAAGGGCAATAAGGCCTATCCCGTGGATCTCTATGATGAGCGTTTCAGGCAGGAGTGACAGGTGGGTGGGAGATGGTTTTCTGGGGTGGAGAGAGCTCTCATGGGAGCTTCTGGTCAACATTCACATGTGTGTGAATCTCAGGGGATCCCGTTGAAACGGCGATCCTGATTCGGTGGCTCTGGCGTGGAAACTGAGACTCTCCTTTTCTAACCAGCTCCCAGGCGGTGCTCTGAGGCCACACTTTGAGTAACAAGGCCTTAAGCCACAGACACCACCCAAGCAAAAGCTACTCTTCTACACCTGCGACGTGTTTCACAATCCAGGCAATGACAGCCCTACTCAGAATGTTGAATGAGCTTTTTTGGTTGGCTACTAGATAGAGGAAGGGAAGTTTCTTATAACCGAAAAGGAATTCATTCCAAACTGGAATTCGGTGACATAAACTAAGTTCCGTGAATGATGTTCTTGTTTTCCTACAACTGGTATTAATACTGTTTCAAAAATACTACAAAGAGGGCCAGGGAAGTCGCCCTGCGTGCAGAGGGGGTGGGTGGCGATCATTAAGGCCCACAATACACTGGACAGGAATGATCCCTTTAATCAGAAAAGCTTCAGAACAGGCTGGGTCATGGGAGCCAGGTTAGGAGAATCGACAGATGTAAAAAGGTAAGTCCTTTGCAGAATCAGAGTGGGGCTGACCAGCTTCCTGTCTCCTCTTCCATCTCTCTGTCCTGCTGAGTGCTCACAAGGGAACATGCCACCTGGCCAGTGAGGCCTCCCCCCCCTCCTTCCCCCCCTTCTCCACCCCCCTCCCCCCTCCCTACCCCCATGGCACTGCCCCACCTCCTGCAGATGGCTCTGCTTCAGGGCAGGAGTGCGAAGGGGTGGAAGGACTTCGGGTTTCTTTTTTTCCATCTGCATTTGTTGCCTAGGGTGTCCTCTGGGTGATGCTAGAAGATAAGTTCTTGCCATTGCTGGAGCGCTGTGATTATCCCCCTGCAGTACCAGTGGGGAGCCCAGCCACAGGCCCCTGGCACTGAGCTAGGCCCAAGGGGGGAGGCAGACAGCGAAAAGAGCTGCTTCTTGCCACCGAGGATCTTATAAGGTAGCTGGGAAGGGAAGAGCCACATTTGAAAGATCACTAACCACATCCAGCAGGAAATCGTAAGTTCCAAACGAGTGATACACACAATAAGGATGTGAGCTGATGAGGGCATGGGGAAACTTTTAAATGAGGTGATCAGAAAGGCTTCATCGAGAAGGTAGTAATTGACTGAGTCCTGGAAGGGAAGGAGGAATTGAATAGTGCCTGGGAGGTCTGAGATGGTGCAGCTTCCAAAAACATCCTCTTGCCCGAATCCCTTTGTGAGAATGGCTTGGGGAGAAATGGAAAGTGTGCTTTGATAGTTTTTGGTGATAGAAGGGGCCAGCGGCCTAACTGTGGCCCACCTGAGTTTCACCAGCCAGGGAATGCCCAGCTCACTTTTCTGGGTCTCTATTTCTTGCTGGACTCTATAGAGAATCAGATAGATTAGGATACGGTTCAAGTCTACCATCTTCATTATTTTCTTAAAAACTTGCTTTATGGGGAGATGCTCTAACCGGGAAGCCCGAATGTCTCTCTGTACTTCAGGAAACCCCTTAGCACCTGATTTTCAGCTTTAAAAATTGTCATTTATATTTTAAACCCTAAAGCATTCCATATTTTAAACATTGCCAGATATAGGTTAATAATGGCAGGGCTAGAAAAAGTCTATAATAATCTTTAAAAAAAAAAAACGACGATGCTAAAGCTACTTTTTTTTAAATTTTAAACTTTAGGCTTCACATTTCAAAGTTTTATCAAACTGCCCCCCCAATAATTTAAACCATTGTTTTCCAAGGGAAATTTAATAATAAGAGCTGCCATGTGTTTCTGCTTAATTTTTGAAGCCTGTGTTGTGCAGTCAAAGATTCTCATTTGAAAATAATTCCTGTCCTTATTCTGAAACTGCCAGGGGAATAAAATTTAAAAAACATGTTGCAGCTCTCAAGTTTATGTTTTGCCTAAAGCCAAGCAGTGCTGGAAGATCAAAGTTGGGAGTGCCATTCTAAAGTTAGAACCGCAGCCTTGCAAGGCACTTGCAAACCCGGAGCAGGGGCCCAGCAGCTGCCTGTCTAGGTAATTAGCTCTGGTGCAAACAGAGGCCCTGCTCCTCCCCCCGGGTGGGGCCCCTGCCTCAGCGCTAGGCTCCCCACCCCCGCAAGTGGCCTGGGAAGTGGATCCCCAGAGAGATGGGACAGGCAGCATATTTTTAGACCACATGTGTGCACTCTGCTGGCCCCCTGCATTCCACAGCTTGCATTTGTGAGGAGTGGGAGCCTGCTGGGTCTGCCCTTAGTGGGGGCTATTTGTCAACATGACGGATTCATCTAATAATATTTAAGGATGGGCAAACTGGGGCATGTTTGCTATTCTCAAGCCCTCTCTTGTTCTCTCTTAAAAAATGAACATAGGTATAGGTGTGTGTCTGCATGTGAGTGTGGGCACGAGTATGAGTATGTGTGTCTGTGTGTTTTTTCTCACCAAGCTCTGAAGATCTGCTCCCTCCCTCCCTTACCAAAGCCCTAACTTGACACTTTCCAGCCTCTGTAGAATTGAGGGTCGAATAGGATTTCTTAAAGCCACAGGAGAACTTCCAAAGGCTGCCCCCTGTCTCCATTCACCTCCTTTGGGAAGTTGTACTTGGGAGCACTGAGCCAGTCTGAAGGGTGTTATGGTTCAGAAATTGTAGGGGTCCAGGCAGACACGTGAATCAGACATTAATGCGGCTCCTCACGGGAGAGGTGTCCGGCCTTGTCCCCCTGAAAATGAACTTGACCCACAAACGCACCTTGGTCTTCCAGAAACCACGAGGAACTTTGGAAGACTGTCAGAGATCAGGGGAAGCCCAAGCCTTTCCCCGAAGGCACTCCTCCGGTCACGCAGGCTTCCCGCAGGCTGCCATTCCCATGGCAGTTGTTGGAGGGAGGAGAAGCACACGAAGGCCCTCTTTCTAATCCGAGCGAGCTCCCCGCCACGGCTCAATTTCAGGTAGATGGTTTTTACACAGAGCCTTGGTTTTACCGTGGCTGTAACTTTGCAGCCCTTGATACATTCCCGTGTGCAGCTGATAATAGGAAAAACAGGTGAAGTGCTAAGTCTCACTCAAGCTGTCCACTTAGCTATTTTTACCCTCGGTGAGCTGAATCAGCTCTCTTGGAGTTCCTTCCCTAGAACAGAGGAAATCAGCGCCTTCTGAACAAGAGGCCGGTGGACATGCATTCTCCTTCTGCCCAGACGCTCTCCCAGTTCATCTTTGGAGTTTTGTGCCGTGGTCTTGGGAGAAACACACTTCCTTCTCCCAGTGGCGTTGCTCTGAGCTGGGGAGGCCCACAGGAGGGTCTCACGCCTCTCCTGGCAGAAGGGGCCCAGATAGCCAAAGCTTCTGTCTGTGGTCTGTACACCAGTCCTAGGGGAGAAGGACAGGTTATTTTAATCCCTTTTCACCTCTACAAATCCCAGCCCTAAAAGCTGCTTGACGTAGAGGCCTCAGTGTTGATGGTGGCAAGGTTATGACGTGTGGGGCTGTTGGGATGGAAAGAATGTATTTGGCATGCAAGAAGACACGGATTTGGTGGGGAGGGTGTTATGGGCTGAATTTGACCTAACCCCCAGCATCTCAGAATCTGACTGTGTTTGGAGATGGGGTCTTTAAACGGATAATTAAGTTAAAAGAAGGTCATTAGGAGGGGGGTCTGGATCCAACATGACCAATGTCCTTATAAAGAGGGACAATTTGGACACAAAGATGAGCAGAGGGAAGACAATGTGTAAAGACACAGGGAGGAGATCGTGGCCATCTGCAAGCCCGGGAGAGAAGCCTCAGAAGAAACCAGCCCTGCTGACACCTTGATCTTGGACTTGAAGCCTCTGGAACTCTGAGACAGTAAATGTCTGTTGTACTTTCTTACGGCAGCCCTAGCCAACTGAAACAGTTTTTGGTTTAGCACAAGTGTGGTACAAGGTCACACCAGCGAGAGCTGTTGGACAAATCCACTCTCTAAAAATGTACCTGGACAGGTGTTCCTACAATGATAGGGAATGAATAGAGCCCATTTTGTTGGGTGTATTTTATACACCTATTTCTTTGGGGGATTCATTAAAGAAGGAGGAAAGGGGACTGATGTACCCTAAGGACATGACACTGTGCAGTTTTTATTGTGGGGGAAAAAAGCACGACACCGCCAAACTGGCAATTTCTCACAATACCAGGTGCGTTCCAGATTGGTGTGTGGGCTTTTGTGAATTGGTTGCATATAAATGAGGAACATTTAAATAAAAAGGAGATCTAGAAACTTTCACTAGTTTGGGGCTTTTATTTATAGCTACTTCTGCACAGTGCTTATTTCCCTTAGCCCGTGAGTTTTGTGCCATGGCAATCTAAGAGGTTTTTGCATGAAGTGCTATGGGCTTCAGTGTTCAGATAGGGTGCTGCGAGCCCCTCCTTTACGTGGAAAACAGAGAGAATGGCAGGAGAAAATGGGGCTGCTGCGAAACCTGATTTGCAGAGGGTGTGAATTAGTGGAAAGAGAATGGAGCAGGCATGAATCCCAGCCCACGTAGGATTGTCAGGGTGATGGTGGCACATATTTTAACTTTCCAGAACCACTGAGTCTTTGGCTCCAAAATGAAGGGCTGGACTAGGAGAAGGCTAAGGTCGCGTCTCACTCTGATTCTAGGGACTCAGGAAGGTCAAGAGCCAGTGCTAGCAGTAGCTTTTGGAATGGGAGAACAGAGCCCCAAATTGTTGCATCTGACCTCCCTATTTGACCAAGGGACATTGTCTTCTCCTGAAATAGTCCCAGGGGACATCTCTCTGAGGGCACTTGCCAGCCTGGTGCTGTCTGCCTGCAGTTCCAAAGCCGGCCGTCCCCCTTCTGTGCCATACCACTACTACTTTGCCTTCATCACTGCTCTGCTCAGTGCCATCTTTGTAGCTCTGGGAACTCCTCACAGGGAAGTGTTTAATCCTGCAGTTTCATTTTATGGTCTTTTCCTCCCCTGTTCTAGGAAGACCTGGCTGAGAGTGTGTACCACCATTTTGCATGACTTGCTTCTCTCATCTCTGAATGGATCTGTGATACGAAGATTGAGCTGCTGTTTAGTGTAAAGGAGATGATGTCTGCAGTGCAGTGAACACATAGCAAGGACTCGTATGTTATGTTTCTTTGTCTTTTGCAAAATGGGTGTAATTATTATCTGCTCCATGTATTAGCAGGCAGGACCTTGCCAGTGCATGTCTAACACCTTGAGAGCAAACTCCAGGTGGGGCTCGTGTCAGACTTGTTTATCGTATGACTCCACTCCAGGTTACCATTTTGCATAGCACATAGTAGGTCCCGATGGAGTAATTCTTGGTTTGTGATTTTTCATTGAAGGGCTAGTCCTTCAATGAACCCCTGTTACAGGGACTGTCAAGATCCAAACACTCATCATTCATTCTCAGTTGATTCAAATTGACCTCTGAGCCTTCCAAGCACCTCCCTTTGCCATGGAAAGTTTAGGCTCACTTCTAAGATGGTCACGCATATTAATGGTATTTACTTATCTCTAAACAGATGGGACAGGGTTTAAAATGCATTTGAAATCAAATACTGAGTGTTAAATTGTAGATAACATCAGCCCATTTCAAAACAACCCATTGTGAAAGAAGTTGGGAAGGAAACTGGCTCCTGGGGATGGCAAAGTGAACCCCCATGATTGTTACAGGGACGCAGGGTTTTACTAGGAGGTATAGACCCAGACAAATAGAATTACAGGAGCACAGCAGAATTTGTATTTTCCCAAAGATACATAAAAAATAAACCATAAAAAGTAGTGCTCTTCAATGGAAATTTACAGAGCACATAGATTTGGGGATACTAGTATTAGGTAAAATTGCTCTTACTTCCAGGGGCTTATTTGGAGAAGAATGATCAGACCCATAAGCTGATTTGGACCCAGGCTTCTTGATTTGAGGCTGAGGGAACTGGGGATATTTAGCATGGGGAAGAGAAAATTCTGGGTTACAAGGTAGCCTTCTTAAAATATCTGAGAGCCTATCTTGTGAAAGAGGAAATGTGTTTGTTCTGTGTCCCCATGACAATCACAGGGGGTTCACTTTGCCCTCGCAAGAAGCCTGGTTTCCTTTCTAACATCATTAATAATGGGTTGTTTTGATATAGACTGATTTTGTCTACAATGAGCATTCGGTACCCACCGGCAGAACTACAACCTATGGGTGAAACCGGCAAGAAGAAAGATTTTTGTTCTGATGTTAGCCAGAGCTTTCTAACAATGAGCTCTGGATGTGCGGAGCCATAGATGAAGCCAGTGGACAGGATTAATGTAGGAGAGGAGGTTGGAGTCAGAAGACCACCAAAGCTCCTTCTAGTCCTGGGATCATGATTCTTTGTACATGAGTCCTTAATTTAATTTATTTTTTTAAGATTTTATTTATTTACTTTCATGCTTTCTCTCTCTCTCTCTCTCTCTCTCTCTCGAGAGAAAGCATGAGAGGGGAGAAGGTCAGAGGGAGAAGCAGACTCCCCGCAGAGCTGGGAGCCCGATGTGGGGCTCGGTCCCAGGACTCCAGGATCATGACCTGAGCCAAAGGCAGTGGTTTAACGTACTGAGCCACTCAGGCACCCCTGAGTCCTTAATTTTAAAGACTGGACTCAGTTATAAGATGGTTCCAAAATCACAAGGGAAGGAGTCTGAGATGGTATGAAAGAAAACAAAACTAGGACTGTAAGCTGGTTGGTTGTAAAGGTTTTTATGATTTCTCTTCAGTTCTTGGACTAGAAAAATGTTCAAGAATCAGTCCCATCTCCAAAGACAAGCTGAGTCTGTTGAAGATCTCAGAGTTCTCTATGTGGAAGGCCGTGGACTGAGAGTACAGATAATGACTCACCCCAGTGACATAGGGAGGTCTCTACAAACACACCGGCAGGAGGGCAGGAGGTAATTATTTGAGCAACGAGGCCAAGAAGTGGTAGATTTAGCTTGAGGGAGAGAATCATAGTTTTTCGTATGGTATTGAACGAGGTAAGCTGCACCTTGTATAGTCTGCAAAAATTCATTTACGATCTTCGGTTCCATCTATGACATGAGGACAGCAAAGTCTTTTACAAAACCATGAGGAGGATAATAGTGATGGTTTATCACTTGGTAATTGCATACCTTGTGGTGTGCAAATGGCTTTCGAAGTAATGTGAGGGAACAATAGTATCTTACCTGTTAGCCTATCCACCCAGCAGTAGCTAGGGAAGTTGAATTGTTTGCCGTGATAATGGGAAAAACAAACAAACAAACAAACAAAAACCAAACAAGCAAAAAAAAAACAGCATGGTAGGGCCAGGGATGTGGATCTCCTCTGTTTTCACAAGGACAGCTTCGTATTTTTATAAGATCTCTTTCCTTGGGAAAATATCAATGATCTGGTCCTTTGGAGATTTAACACAAAATAAAATAAATGCAAGAAGGTGGGTGCAGCCTTTATTGGTTATGAAACAGCTCCCTCAAAAAACCCACTGGAACTAATTCAGCAGAATCTACTTAGCTACTCATGGTCCGTTCATGGGAAGCCACACTTTGTCTCGCGGCTTGCAACTTTAGACTTCTAAGTTTAGCTAAGATGGTGTTCCAGCTCCAGCCCTCATCACCAGCTACCCAGGGACACTGATGGAGAAATGGAACCTCTCTAACTCTTCACTTTGAAGAAGGATTGCTCAGGATGTGTTTTGTTGCAGGGGACAGGAACTCTGACTCAGGGCATCATAAACATGAAGGTCGTTTGTTGTCTCACATAAGGAGAAGCCTTGAGATAGAGTGTTCACTCCGTAGCTCCATGATGTTGTAGGGACTCTTTTTGTCTTTTGTTTGGCATCCTCATGAGGTGGCCTTTTGCCTAGGCAGACTGGCCTCAGGCCTGCAGGATGGCTGCAGCAGTTCCAGACATCGTATCTGGTTATTCCTTCTTGTGAGCAAATAAACCTTTCCCGTAAGCCACTAGGAGGACTTCCCTTTTATCTGACTGGTCAGACTGACACCATCTTTAAACCAATCACTGGCAAAGGGAACAAGAGGGCGATGACTGATATAGAACAGATATAGGCAAACTTTTCCTTAAGGGTCCAGACAGTAAATATTTTAGGCTTTGCTGGTCATGAGGCAAAATCAAAGACATTACATAGGTGATTATATAACCATTAAAAATATAAACAATTTAAAATTTAAAAACCATTATGTATTAGACAGGGTTTTCCAGAGAAACAGAATCAATAGGAAGGTGTTTGTATGTATATATGTATAAAAATGTATACATGTGCTTATCTATGTATCTTTCTATGTATCTATCTATAGAGAGATTTGTTTTAAAGATTAGCTCATATATTTATGGAAGCTGGCAAGTCCCAAATCTGCAGGGTGTGCCAGCAGCCCAGCAAACCAGGGGAGAGCTGATGCTGCAGTTCAGGGTCAAAGGCCATCTGCTGGCATAATTCCTTCTTGTTCAGGGGAGGTCAGTTTTTTTTTTTTTTTTTAATTTTATTCAGGTCTTCAACTGATTGGATGAGACCCACCCACATTAGGGAGGACAATCTGCTGTAATCAAAGTCTACCAATTTACAAATCCCATCTAAAAAGACCCTCACAGGAACATCTGCAATAATATCTGAGCCCTGCAACCTAGCCAAACTGCCAATAAAATTAGCCATCACACGTTCTTAGCTCAAGGCTGTACAAACACTGGTGGCATGGTGGATTTGGTCCTGGGCTATCCTTTGCCAGACTCTGGCTTCAACTGATACTTGAGATGGGAATGGGATCATTTGTCTTACAAGTGGACACCTGAACAAAACAACAGTCAGTCAACAAAGAACAAAGCCAATGGGTCGACCACCAGCACTGTTATGCCAGTCCACCGATTCAGTGGAGGTTTTGGTAGAATGAGAAAGAAATGCATTGAGAAACTTGAAAACACTGCATTAGAACGTGAAGTAGAGACCCTGATCCAGCCCTTCCCCACCTCAACTGTTGTGTTTTTTGTTTGTTTGTTTGTTTGCTTGTTTTAATGAGTGACTCGATATTTCTATTTGTCAGCACCTGTGCTGACCTGTTCTTCTCTTCCTGTGCAGGAGGTAGGCCCTCCTGCTCTCCATGCATGAAAGAAAGGCAACCTGTGACTGCTTATGAAGGGAGTGGGATGGGCTGTGAACATTGCTTCTGTAGGTGGTGGGTACACGAGTTGGGTGCAAGCAGCTGCCCTCCGTGGAAGAGGAGCATTTAAAGGACCAGGCGCTATGCATCTTGGCAGAGGTGAGTTGCCTGGGTTGTCTCCCAGCAAGAGATGTGGGGGCACTCTCCAGTTGCCCTTTGTGCAAGTGAGCATCTGAGGGGCCACCTGTCCTGCCCAATCTCGCAGGGCTCTTTTTCAATTCAGATCAAATGAGAGGTATTCTAGTGCCGAGAACTGTGCTGGACAATGTTCTGGGCATTGGGAAGGTAGCTTTGTGTAAGGTAAGGTGCTGGCCCTTCCTGAAGAGGGAGATTTAGAGGTGGAAACAGATATAAACATACTATCATATGACACTCCACTGTGATAGGTGGGGGGACACCAGCATCTGAGTCCACTTTTGGAGATGTGGGAGGGATGTTTTTGCTTCCCACAACAACTGGGGGATATCCGTGACATTTGGTACCTGGTTGCTGTTGTGTCAAGTGTCCCACAATGCATGGGATGGTCCCATACAACAAAGAATGGACTCACTTAAAATACCACTAATCCATGGAAACAAGCTAAAGGATTGAGTGATGATCATTCAGTTGAGGGAAGTAGAAGGAAGCTATAACCCAGCCCCTTTCCTCCTTCCCACCTTAGCAGTGTGACACCCACAGACAAGAAAGCTGGAATCCTCTGGGCTTCTTCCTTTGGCTAAAGCTCATGTTTCTGCTGAAAGTCAGGAAAGAACTGGGAATAGCTTTGGTGAAACAGGGTCTCCACTTATCGCTTTGTAAATTGTGACTTGCACAACTCCAGGGGGAGCCATTCATGTTTCAATCACTATTGATTTATGTAGCTATTACCACCCTTTCCTGGAAGCTGGCAGTAAAGTATCTTGAGAAAGGGATCCTTAATTAATTCTCACTGAGCCTGAGACAGGGCTAGACTATA